CAAGTGTACAGTTCCAAAGCATTGCTAAGACTAAGCCTCTGCGCACCAAAAGCTGTTTTTTCTACTTTTCCCCTCCTTCACCCCCCTTGCCTCCTTAGTCTCCTGATTCTCCTGCTGGTACGACCTTGAGCATTCCAGCGCCTGTGATAAGGAGCCATCTGCCTCTAACTGTGCTTCATCCATTTTCCCGCCATTTCCCCCCCTCCCCCCTTTTACAATGGCAGAACCGCAGCATGTAAAAAGCAACTACCAACTAGCCAACTCTAAAATCTACTATTAAATCTTGCGAGGATTCTGACCCACTGTTGGTTTGCAATTTGTTTCAATACTTTCTACAATCAAATGTGTGTATTTCAGGACATTTCTTTTCTAACTGTCTTTTTCAATGGTGGAAGTCTTTCCCTATACTTTGAATTTTTCATATGTTCAATACTTTTTCCTTTCAGGTGAATGAAGCTGATGTTCTTCATACTTTTCCTCTGTGATTTCATGTCTTTCCTCATCTGTTTCAGAAGTTAATAAAATGTGATATTCATAAATTTCATTCTTTTGATGATCTTGATCTTTTGTTTCATTTGTGTTGTTGTTGGCAATACTATTACCCTGGTTACCTAATAGGACCAGCTCAGTCCTATAGACCATTTATCAACTTATGCCAAGGGCCATAACACCAGGCGTGGTCCTTGTTGACCTGGGTAACAATGGATCCAGTATGGACATTTCCTTTTGTGGGTTCACTTTTAAAATGGTTTTTCAGCCACATTTTCTCTTCATCTCATCCCACCTTTTCTTTCTTCTTCTCTCCACACACAGGGAAATGAAAGGGATCTGAAGATGGAGGAGGAAGGTGCCTTTCTCCATTGCAAGAACACTTCTGAAAGGGGGCCAGTAAGAAAACAGGCACAGTGAGGTGAGGCCTGGGTATGGTTTGGCCAGCACACTACATGGGGAGATCTAGAAGGCCTATAATGGTATGTGGGAATGACTGTGGGAGACAGGAAGAAGAGCTGCAGCCTAGACAATGGTCTGATAAATGAAATCTGAGTCTGAAGGAAGGGTGGGGGTGGAGAGAGCATCTCAGAAGGGACCCTCCCTAGTTTTTGGGAGAGTAAAAGTAAAGGAGGGGAGAGATACTTTCAGACTTGCAGGTTTCTGCTACTATAACGTTACAATAAAGGCAGTGTTATTACTCATGATTGGTGCTTTTGGACTACCTCAAGGATTGACAAGGCCAGACCTGCCCATGGTCTGTATATTCCTCATTGCTGGCCCAAGGTCTGAAAACCCAACATTAATCAATTCTAGCACTGCATAACATAGGAAGAATAAAACCCAGCCTGTTTCAGAAGTGAGTTTTCCAGAGTGTCCAACCAGGTGACTCTGCAAAACCCACAATAAGTTTTTGCCACTTGTTACTTTCTAGCAACTGATATCCAGAAGTGTACTTTTTCTAAAACGGGTCCAGTTCTGCAACTCTTGAATCAACAAGAGTTAGTAGTCAGTAGCAGTGTGAATCTAGTCATTTAGTTTTATAAAGTATGGTTCATGGTTTAGCATGTGCATAAAAGCAGACAACTGCAGTTTATGCTACTGCTGTGCAGCATTATAGAAATAATTTGTAAAAATTACTTCTGAATATTAAGGAAAGCAAAAGTAGCACAGGTCTACAACTCTTTAAAGCAGCCGTGAGCATATGGCTACTTTAAAGAGTTGCAGACAGATGTATTTGCACTCTCACAGACTCTTAAACAATTATTTAGAATCAAATCTACAGCACTGCATAATCCGGGCTTATTCATAACTCATAATTAAATAAATGATACTTAACATGATGTGGGAAACCAACTGCAGATTTTACGTGGCAAACCATTCAAATGGAATAGTATTTTTTCACACCCTATTTAAGGATATGTTCACATTATGGATACATCCAGCAATTTGAACTCAAGATAAATTACATACTTTTCCATTTATGTAAGTCTACAGTGCACATATGTTCTGCAGCCATTTCTACCTTTGCAGAGATTCTTTCAGATCTTCCTTATAGTTTTCTGCTGTATTATGATGACAATGGTCACTGAAGCACAAAAACATACTTTCATTCACTTAGCTTCCTCACTCTTGCTGTGAGTTTCTGCATATACAAACACATACATAGCAACTCTTACTCACAAATGTCTGTATACAAAATCCAGGTGTTGTTTTGAGAGATAAATGAATCTGGTTACATTTGTGCACATTATAGACATCTTTGAATTTTTGTATGGCTCCCTGGAT